ATCCATCTCAAGCAGGTCCAAGGAGGTGATCCTCCCCATCTGTGTGACACTGGTCAGGCCGCAGCTGGAGTACTGTGTCCAGTTCCGGGTGCCACACTTCAGGAGGGATGTGGACAGCATTGAGAGGGTCCAAAGGAGGGCCACTCTCATGATCAGGGGCAGCAGGGCATACCCTATGAGGAGAGGCTATGGGACCTTAACCTGTTCAGCCTTCACAAGAGAAGACTGAGGGGGAAACTGGTGGCCATCTATTAACTTACTAGTGGGTACCTGCAAGGTTTGGGAGAGACTTTGTTCCCCCGAGCGCCTCCCAGAGTAACAAGGAATAACAGCCATAAGTTGCTAGAGAGTAGGTTTAGACTAGACATTAGAAGGCACTACTTCACAGTCAGGGCAGCTAGGATCTGGAACCAACTTCCAAGGGAAGTGGCGATGGCTCCTACCCTGGGGATCTTTAAGAGGAGGCTCGACGTTTACGTGGCTGGGGTCATTTGAGCCCAGTTTTCTCTCCTGCCCAGGGCAGGGGGTTGGATTAGAAGATCTACAATATCTTCACAGATCAGCACTTAGGTCAATCTAAATGTAACGTCTGTATGTACATTCAGTGTTTGTGGAATTTGGTATTTGTTTTGCTCCAGCAGATATTTCCTAAAATAATGATGTGAGTTAATGCTGGCTGAACTATATGCATGCGTGCGTGCATGCACACGCGCCCCCTCCCCACCCCCCAGACACACAATCTGTAATCATAGAACTATAGAAAATTAGGGTTGGAAAAGACTTCAGGAGGTCATCTAATCCAACCCCCTACTGAAAGCAGGACCATCTGTGACTAGATCAACCCAGCCAGGGCTTTGTCCACCTAGCTGTTAAAAACCTCTAAGGATGGAAGTTCTACAACCTCCCTGGGGGCTCTGTTCCAGTACTTTGTTACCCTCCTAGTGAGACCGTTTTTCCTAATACTGTACCTAAACTTCCCTTGCTACAGCATGAGACCATTGCACCTTGTTCTGTTATCTGCCACAACTGAGAACATTGTAGCTCCATCCCCTTTGGAACCCCCCTTCAGGTAGTTGAAGGCTCTTATCAATTCCGTCCTCAGTCTTCTCTTCGCTAGACTAAATAAGCCCAGTTCCTTCAGCCCCACCTCACACATCATGTGCCCCAACCCTCTATTTTCACTGCCGTCTACTGGACTCTTCTCCAATTTGTCCACATCCTTTCTGTAGTGAGGGGCCCAAAACTATACGCAATACTCTAGGTGTGGCCTCACCAGTCCTGAATAGAGGGGAATAATTACTTCCCTTGATCTGCTGGCAACACTCCAACTAATGCAGCTCAGTATGCTGTTAGCCTTCTTCACAACTATTGGCACATATTGGCACAAAGAGCACACTATTGGCACATATTCAGCTTATTGTCCACTGTAACCCTCAGGTCCTTTTCTGCAGAGCTGCTGTTTAGCCAGTTGGTTCCCAGTCTGTACCAATGCATAGGATTGTTCCATCCTAAGTGCAGGATTTTGCACTTGTCCTTATTGAACTTCATGAGAATTCTTTTGGTTCAATCCTCCAATTTGTCTAGGTCACTCTGAATCCTAGCCATATCCTCCAACATATCTATCACTTCACTTAGCCTAGTGTCATCCGCAACTTGCTGACTCTATCCCATCTTCCAAATCGTTGATGAAGGTGAACAAAACCAGCCCCAGGACCAAACCCTGGTGCACTCCACTTAATACTGGCTGCCAACTAGACATCGAGCCATTGATTTGTACCCTTTGAGCTCAACGATCCAACCAGTTTTCTATTCACCTCACAATCTGTTTATCCATCCTGTACTTCCTTAGCTTGCTTGCAAGAATGTTGTGGGAAACCATATCAAAAGCTTAGCTAAAGTTAAGGTACATCACATCCACTGTTCTCCCCATATCCACAGACTCAGTTATCTCATTATAGAAAGCAATCAAGTTGCTCAGGTATGACTTTCCCTTGGTAAATCCATGCTGACTCTTCCTAATCACTTTTTTCTTCCCCAAGTGCTTAGAAATGAATTCCTTGAGGACTTGTTCCATGATTTTTCCAGCAACTGAGGTGAGTCTGACTGGTTTGTAGTTCCCTGGATCCTCCTCATTCCCTTTCTTCAAGATGGGTACTATACTTTCCCTTTCCCAGTCATATGGGACCTCTGCTGATCGCTACAAATTTTTCCAAGATCACAGCC